CAACCTAGAAGCGATGGCCTCCAACCTAGAAGCGATGGCCTCCAACCCAAGAGCGATGGCCTCCAACCCAGAAGCGATGGCCTCCAACCTAGAAGCAATGGCCTCCAACCTAGAAGCGGTGGCCTCCAACCCAAGAGCGATGGCCTCCAACCTAAGAGCGATGGCCTCCAACCTAAGAGTGATGACCTCCAAGCTAGAAGCAATGGCCTCCAACCCTAGAAGCAATGGCCTCCGACCTAGAAGCGATGGCCTCCAACCCAAGAGCGATGACCTCCAACCTAATAGCCATGGCCTCCAATCTAATAACGATGGCCTCCAACCTAAGAGCCATGGCCTCCAACCTAAGAGCGATGGCCTCAACCCTAAGAGCGATGGCCTCCAACCTTCACATGCTTCTGCATGCTTGCCAGGTTTGGAGCAAGCATTCGAACCTCATGGGTCATGTTGGCCTATTGCTTTGCATTGCCGCGGGCTCTTTGACTGCCGAATCCAAGATGTTGTGAGGATTGTTCAGACAGGAGGCCTGGGTTGAAGACTTGCACAGATCTCTTTAGAATAGGAACTTGGCGTGGATTTTACCAGACTACGGGCAAATTATTTGATTGACTAGCCAGAATCCACCTTCTCTGAGGTTTCGCATACGAAAAGACCAAAGTGCCTCTGCTGCAGTGTACGTTGGTCTCTTGAGCTCTATGCTGAAAGACTTTGTGAACACCTGTTGAAACAGAACAAAAGGATTTGGAAGACGCACTGTGCGGGCTTCTGTCCAGGCGGCGCCAAAGTAGCAGCCGCAAGAGCCACTTGGCTCGCGTTTCGGATCCGTCCAAGTCCAGTCGACATGTTGTGCCACATTGGCCACTCTAATGCCATGATGGATCAGGTCATAGCCCTAACATGATGAAAGCGAATAATCTAATGGCAATCTGTGTTAGACCTTTCTTCCTTTTTTTGTTTTTTCCCCAAACAGTTTACTGTTAAGGGTTCTCAATTCTTTCTTAAGATGTGTCCGCCCTTTGTGTCACTGCTGGTGTCCGCCCTTTTCGGCTGAACATGTAGCATTTCTATTCATTTATCTCCCAGGTCTGTCGCTGCTGGTGCCCCCCCTTTTCTGCTGGCCATGTAGCATTTCTATTCATTTGTCTTGCAGGTCTGTCACTGCTGGTGTCCCCCCCTTTTCCGCTGGCCATGTAGCATTTCTATTCCTTTAATCTGCCAGGTCTGTCGCTGCTGGTGTCCGCCCAGTTCCGTTGGCCATGGAGCATGTCTATTCATTTGTCTCCCAGGTCTGTCGCTGCTGGCGTCCGCCCTTTTCCGCTGGCCATGCAGTATGCAGCATTTCTATTCATTTGTCTCCAAGGTCTGTCACTGGTGGTGCCCGCCCTTTTCCGTTGGCCATGTAGCACTTCTATTGGCCATGCAGCATTTCTATTCATTTGTCTCCCAGTGTCCGCCCTTTTCCGCTGGCCATGTATTTTCCGTTGGCCATCCAGGTCTGTCGATGCAACATTTCTATCCATTTGCCTCCCAGGTCTGTCATTTCTTTTCACGTCTCTCTCCCATGTGATTTCTTTACTTTTGTCTCCCAGGTTCGGTGCCTGCACTGCTGGTGTCCGCCCTTTTCCGCTGGCCGTGCGGCATTTCTATTCATTTGCCTCCCAGGTGATGTTTTATTTTTGTCCCTGATTTCTGTGCTTATGTGCCTGCACTGCTGTCTGCCCCTTTCCGCTGGCCATGCAGCGTTTCTATTCGTTTGTCTCCCATGTGATTTCTTTACTTTTCTCCTAACAGGTTGCTGTTAGGGGGGTCTGGATGCTTTCTAAGACTGTCCGCCTTGCTGCGGGACAGCGCGTCCGCCTGCCGTTCGGCTTGTCGCTCTTTGTTTCCCTTCTTTTTGGTCATTGCGTCCGCCTTGTCTCCCTTCTGTCTTGCTTGGTCTCCGGTCTTGCCTCCCTTCTTGTTGGTCACTGTGTGCGCGTTGTCTCTTGTCTGCCTTCTTGTTGGTCATTGTGTCCACTTTGTCTCCCTCCTGTCTTCCTTTGTCTCGGGTCTTGTCTCCCTTCTTGTTGGTCACTGTGTCCGGCTTGTCTCCCTTCTGTCTCCTTTTGTTTCCCTTCTTGTCTCCCTAGGATTGCAACACAGCAGTTGAGAGCTGGGAGACAAATGGGAAGGATTGCAAGGCAAGACAAGAAGGGAGACAAAAGGAACAGAAGGGAGACAAGCCGACACAGTGACCAACAAGAAGGGAAGCAAGACCGTGGGACACAATGACCAACAAGAACCCTTTACATGTGTCCGTGCTCTGGACTGCGCTGTCCACCTCTGCCTTCCAATCCTCTACGTGTGTCTCCCAGCTCTGGGCTGCTGTGCATGTGTCTCCCAGCTCTGGACTGCTCTGGACTGCCGTGTCCGCCTCTCGGTTGCATTCCTTGCCTCTCGCTTGCAATCCTTTACATTTGTCTCCCAGCTTGTTGCCGTGTCCGTCTGGGCTGCGCCTTGCAATCCGAAACATGTGCCTCCCAACTCTTCTCCCAGCTCTGGGCTGCTGTGTCCGCCTTTGGCTTGCAATCCTTTACACTTGTCTCCCAGCTCTGGGCTTGTGTGCTGCTGTGTGCAATCCTTTGCATTTGTCTCCCAGCTCTAGACTGCTGTATCCACCTCTGCCTTGCAATCCTTAATTTTACACGTGTCTCCCAGCTCTCGACTGCTATTTCCGCCTCTTCCTTGCATTCCTTTGTTTCCCAGCTCTGGACGTCGCAACTCTAGTTGCAGAGTGTTCCGTTTGAAAAAACACAAACTGTTTGGGGTCTACGGTGTAATTTGTTTCTAATAGCGATGGCCTCCAACCTACTAGCCATGGCCTCCAACCTAATAGCCGTGGCCTCCAACCTAATAGCGATGGCCTCCAACCTACTAGCGATGGCCTCCAACGGCCTCCA